CTTAAATGGTTTGAGTGAAACTGGACTTCAATGACATGTCTGAGTGGATGACACAGGTGCGAGGATAAACATAACTCCGGCCTAGTTTTCCATTGTGTAACACTGGGAGTGTTGCAGAATGCAGGTGATCTTCAATAACAAAGCCAGACAGTGTGGGTCCGACAGCACTATGGCAGCTTTTATTTACAATGCATGAATCTATTAAAAACAAATTGAACTGATGAATTAAAACAGTGAAACTTGAAGCCGGGGTGAGGGGCAGTCTGTATGAAAAGTAAACACAAAAGTAAACAAATCCATCCCCACAACAGGAATCACCATAAACATACACAAACAAGGCCACCACTTAAAGTGAACCCCGTCACCCCAGCCATCAATAAAGTAACTTTACAAAACTAAAATATGCAAAACCTAAATATAAAGTAACAGCAACCAGCACTGGGCCTATGAAGAAAACCCAATGCAATTAATAAAACGAGTAATAAAATACAAACAAGATTTATAAAAGCATACCTCTAAACGACTCGACTGTTGTGACCCTTAAAAGACATTTACAAGTGTTTTAAACATTTACATTCAATACAAATATAAAAATCTAAAAACCACTTTCAGCTCACCAGAGTCTGATGTGAACAGGCGGGCTCAGACTTGGTCATGTGACCTGGCCACACCCATGACCACACCTACTGTACACCTGCCACAATTGCAAAGATGTTATAAGTTTAGAATGTTACAGTTTGAACGTGACATAGAAATGGGAAGCAACCACAACATAAAGAAGTAGAAATATCAAACAGTCCCTTTAAAGATGAGATGTGTATTTTCTTCTTCCATAACTAATATATTTTGATTGTCCCAACAGTAAGCGCCATTTTTGTGGTTTGAAAGTTAAATTCACCAGCTTGAAAATGCTCGGGACGTTGTGTTTTATTAGCATGCTGTAGATGGAGAATTCCTTTTTACAGCTAAGTGGTACTTCCAGTATTGGCCTAGTTTCCATATTTTTTATTCGGTTTTGTTCCATGCTACATTTATAGTTACCATCGACATTATCAACAAACAAAGTAAGAGAAAAGTAAAGGGAAATAATATTAATAACACTTTCTGACATCCCCACAGTTTGAGAAGCATGCTCTGGCTTCAAGCAAATAGAAAGTGAACATCCAGTCTTGATCTGAACAGACGCACAAGCAGAAAAATAAACACGCACACTTGTTAAAGCTGGGGTATCTAACTTTAGTCTCATAAGTAATACATGTCTTTTATATCCAAGAACAATGAAAATCAAGACAGACAAACAACAGAAATATAAGCATAACCAAAAACTCAAAGCAAGGATAAACAAAGGCACCAAAGTAAAAAACAAACTAACACACATTTACACAAAACTCAAAGTGTCTAATAATCAGAATGTATCTCCAATGATAGGGCATTAAGAATTTTATCCCACCTTTTTTGGTGTTTTTTATTTTATTTTTCAACACATGTCTTTAGTCCAGTCTTGTTACAGAAGATAAATTGCAAGAGAAACAACAACCAATCAAACCAAAACATGCTTTTTCAGATTCAGTTTATTTGCCATTTGCAGTAAAAAAAACTCACATTGGAATACATTTGTAAAAGTCACCAGTGTGCACAGACAAATACAGACATAACACAACATTTAAAGTACAGAAATAAACAAATGAAACAGTAAACAATTGTCACTGAGAAAAACGATTTGACTAAAACAGTTTCAATACAGGTGCAAGAACATTAAACATTAAAGTGCTCTGTTCAGACTGACAACAGCTTGTGGGAAGGAGCTGTGAGCATGTGGAGATGTCCTGCATCTCAGAGAACGATATCTTCTGCCAGAGGGAAGAAGCTGGAACATGGCTTTCCCAGGGTGGCCAGAAGAGTTATTGACAATCCTAAGAGCTTTGTTTAAAAGTCTGGATTTTTAAAGAACCTCCAGAACAGGAAGCTCACAGCCCACGGTCCTCTTTGCAGAGCGGAGCACCTTGTTAAAAGCTCTCTTTTCTTTATCTGTGATGTTTCCAAACCACACAGTCATAATGCCAGCCTATTTCAGAACAGGTACTCCCACAGTGCCAGCCATTTCTGATGATTTTTAAAGATTCTAAAAGAATGGACTGTCTACTTTCCTCAGCAAAAAGAATTTTGTTTATAGCTTTTTTCGTTCCCCTGTAATCCTCCGTTGAGTAGAGGGAAGTTTTACTGAAATCACCAGAAATCACCAGAAAGTTGAGAAAAAAGAGGCACAACATGTGCACCTACATGTTTTCAAACCATTCAGAGAGCAATGCTGCCACCTGCTGGCTCGATAAAATATGGTCTCAAGTCATCCCCATACATATTAGATACAATAGACATCTGGGAACGTGAAAATAGCGAAAAAGGCATTTGACGTATTAATGCGTCAATGGGACACAATGAGTTAAAAACAGGTAATCTAGAAGAAGGTCATTTATTCGTCCCACAATGGGGAAATTTCAGTTTGATACATACACATAAAGGCAAGCAGCGAACATCACTTCCGCGCTCCTTATAGCCAAAGTGGGTTAAGTGTCTTGCCCAAGGACACAACGATATCAGTGGGAGTCCGTGGAGAGGGTCTCATGGTGGGCGCCAGAGACTAATGCTCTATCATCTGAGCCACTGTCGCCCCCACTGTCTATAGCATACTTTTAAGAATGCTGCAGAATACTGAAAGTCACTAATTGACTTTTTGGGCTGAGATCTGATTGGCTGCTCTCTTGTTTACTTTTCGGTCTAAAACTCGTGTCTAAAGATGTGACAGAGGCTAAAAATACTTCCAACACGTGTGGAAACTGGTGATAGAGCCAAGAACTGGATTCATATAAATGTTCAGAGCATCCATGTCCTCGTGCACATGTGTGACTGGGGCAGAGTCGGCGCGATCGCTCCATCTAGTGGCCGTAGATATACACCCAAGTCCCTGCACTGCACCATCCCAGATAAGCCTTATTTAAACATATTGAGCATCAGTCAGCTCTGCAGCGCTCTTTCTCTCATAATTTCCAGTTTCTCTGCATCGACTTCGCATCTGTCTGTCCACATGGGGAATTGATTGTCTTGTAAACAATTTATATACACTTGCGGTGGTAATATGTGAAAATCAATGAAGCGTTTACCCGACCAGACGACTTTATACGGAGTGTGTTTGCTCACCAACACAGCACCATATTGTGTTGAATAAATTACAGATCATATTTTATAGTCTGTTGCGTCATTGTGCGATGGCCATGTTCCTTTAAATGTTCATGCCGTGAGAGTTGCCTTAATTACATACAATTCATTTATTTCCTTAATGACAAAACTTTTTGGTCCAGCACACGATTGTTCCGCAGCTTCTTGCATTCAAATATGTCATATGTTTAGAGTTGGGGGACCTGATTTACAAACACCAAATTATCTGAATAATGTAACTTATTCCTCCACACATGTATTTTGTTTTCATATTTACAGGCAGCACAGGGCCTGGTTAGCACTGAGATGGGAGGACACCAGGGGCCACACTGGGGCGGCTGTGGCTGTAAAGTGCCAAACTGCTGTTGTGTCCTTCACCCCCATTGTGCATAATGAGTCTGGTGTGTGTGTGTGTGTGTGTGTGTGTGTGTGAATGATTGGCGGAGGTCAAAAGGGTTGATGTCACAGATAGGTAGCCTCGCTTGTGTCAGTTTGTCCCAGGGCAGCTGTGGCTACATTAATAGCTTACCACCGAGCTGTATGGAGTGAATGAATAATGTGAAGTATCTTTCATTGTTCTAAAAAGTGCTAATGACAAACAATGCATTTTATACTACTGTAATATACTATAATACTATACATTTGTACTTGAAAGAACCATGGGAGTCAGTACTTTGTGCCGCTATGGGCAAATTTCTGATTGGCTGATTGCAGGTGGTCCTCTCTCTTTCCCTTTTCTGTCTGAAAAAGCTGATCTACAGATGGGACAGGAATAAAAACAAATAAAACAAAAACAAATACATGCATGTGAACTCTATTGTTTCAAGGAGGAACTAGTTTGATGCTGTTTATTACATAGTTTAATAATAATAATAATAAAGTGCTTCATGTTTCATTATAACCACAGAGGATATAAAATGGGAATCTGAACAATGGTCATTTTAACAAAGCAAACTAGTGCAGAAAAAAAAGGGACTGACACAATATAAAATAATAGTAAAGTACATAATAAAGTGATAGTCTGTAGGACCACTGCGGATCTGGATCATTTCTCTTTATTAACACAAACAGCCACACAGTGCGCTCCTCAGTGTTCATCATGACTTTATTTACACATATATAGTACCATATAAAAACACTAAAGTGGAATGATTCAGTTTACTATTCACATTTTGGCGCCGTAACCAGCTAAAAGCAAAAGGCAGTCAGTCTCACTCAGTGTTTCGACTAAATAAATACATTGTTCAGTGTTTTTCAATGAGGTAGTTCTTTGGCTCAATCTATCTCAGTAAGCTCCTTCATAAAATACGTAAATACAAAAATAAATCTGTTTTCCCATCAAATTTAGGCTGAAGCATTGGAAGGCACCTAAATTGATTAATACTGTTGCTGTACGTCTCCGAAATCCAAGAATAATCCTTCTGGTGGCTCATTATTATAATTCAAGCGGCCTGACATTGATAAAGTGCTCAATTGTACGGTTAGAAGCAGAGAAATACTCTCTCTCTTCGTTGCGTGAGTGTTGTCAAAACTGTTTCTTTCAAAGTACCATTTTTAAAGCAGTTAAACAAGACATCAGCTTGAACAAAGATGACAGCCAGTCTCAGGAATGAAGATAAAGCTGCAGCTGTAACAAAGTCCTGGATCAACTTCTGTCACTGAGAAGTCGTTCAGAGGCCAAAGCGCCAAGAGTCCTTCATTTGACTTTACAGGAACTTTGAATCCAGCAAAGGAAGATAAACGTGACAATATGCCATACGAGGAGTAGAGTAAGTCACAGACTTATTTCAATACAGGTTCTCTTCAGCAAATCCATCTGGAAACACAAGCAGAGCAACGTTAGTGGAATCTACTAAAACATGTACAAACATCTGTTGGATAGATACGGTACATTTGACTGTATTTAAGTCATTGATAAAACTAATGATACACAAATGAACGTATACAAACTATCTGCACCACATCCCAATAATATCATGAACAGTTAAAAAAGTATGTTGGTTGTTAAATGTTGTGTAAGCCTGTCCAGATAATGAATATTTTGACTCATTGTTCAACAGTTGATGGATAAAACTTTATTGTCTGTGCATTTTCTTTGCAAAAGTGGACAGGTCTTTGCTATTTTCTGTCTTGACGACTTAGCTGTAGGGGGTTAAAAATGGCAAAATGTGACTAAATTATATTCTTTATTTTGAAATATCTTAATGAAATAGACTTCAGTGGGATCATTGCACTGCATTGTCCTTGGATCAGTGTCAAAAAATATTTTAACCCTTATCTCGTGCAACTATATCCCCCATCAAAACAATCTACCACCACAGGCCTAGTGTGGCGGACAGTTACTTACATGCTACTGCCAGTATTAATAAAAATATCAAATTGCTAAGAATCCATCCCAATAATTCAACATGTGCTGTTATTTTTATGTCTGGTGTTTCATCCCATGCTCCCATTTCTACTACAAGTGCAAGGTTTCAAAGGCTTGCTCTCAGTGGGAGACACACACCTTGCTGAAGGCTGCTGTGGATGTAGCGGTTGAGTTGATGCAACCCATTGTTTTGATCCATGCTTACTCCGCCTGAAGAGAGCCGATCTGCCCTCTCTGTGATGTCCATGGAGGCCCCCAGAGGCGATGGAGGCTGCTGCAGCATTTGACACGGCATGTTCCTCGCGCTGCCCTTCACGGCGACCAATTCCAAGTCGTTCAAGATGCTGTCGAATATACAGTCATCCAGGATAAGCTCGGGTTTTAACTCGGCAGGAAGAGAAGGGGCGTGATGGGGGAAACAGTTCATCATGGAGTCATTCTGGAAGGGACTGAGCGTGCTGAACATGTCAAAACTATTCGCCAGGGAAGAAATCTGCTGCGCCAGGACGCTTATCTCCTCTCGCTCCCGTTCGCTGTACTCGAAAGTAGTCCCCTGGGTGGTCGGGGACTGGGTCGGTGGGAGCAGGCCGGGGTCGAGGCCGAAGTCGTCCTGATGCAGGGTACATTCGTCCTCCGTGGAGCTTTCGTTTGACACGGAAAGGCAATCTGGGACCAACCGAGCGTCAGATGTGCACGTGGAGAAGTCTTCGTAGGATGGAGATAGCGAGGAGGACGAGGAGGTGGACAGGGGGGAATGCGAGCCAGTGGATGAGTGGTCAGAGGGTTGGGTGTTGGGTAGAGACATGGGCGAATGATAAGGTAATCCACATATGGGAGGCGCTGGCGGGAAGTAGGAAGGAGAGGATTCAGGGGAAGACAGGACGTCCATGATGAGATCTTGAGCGATGGAGGAGGCGGAGGAGTTTGGCGTGTATGGGGGAGTGAACATGTAAGGGTTGTCGCACTTTGGGCCGTAGGAGCGATCGTCTTGGTTCAAATCGGCAAAAGTCTGGTCTTGCCATGAGTCGCAACTTGTCTTCCTGCTCCTGGCGCAACTTTCTTCGTCTTGGCTGCGTTGGCGCTTTAAACATTTACTGGGTTTGTGATGTGTCGAGGAGGTCGTTGGCGTCGCGGTGGAGGAGTGGCAGATTTGAGACAGTCCCGAAGTCTCGTTGTTGAGTTTCCGCTGAAGGAATCTGGCCTCGGTTTCACTACGAGAGGAGAGAGAATGTTTAGACGAGTGTGTTTTGAGCGAAAGGTTAAAATCAAAAGAGGAGATTTAGAAGTGGGTATAATGCATTCGAAGCAGACTTAATGGTCAATAGATTTGTTTTTCTATATTCCAAGAAGTACACATTTTTCATCAAAACTGAAAGAGTAAATTATTCCCTTCATTGAAACTGAGACATTGAGATTCTAGTTTCTAAGGTGATATCTGCGACTTTATTTTTTTTTTATTTTATCTTTTTAAAAGATTGCCTTTTTTTGACCAAATGTAGTGACCCTGCAGTATCACCAAAAGTACGTATTATTCAAAATCAACAGGTGTAATACAGTCCCTTTCTTTGGTATAATCACCATCATTAAGATTCATCTAGAATTTTAATGTATTTCGTCCAATTAGGAAGCAGCGGTCTAACCAGTGCTGGCTTTGGAAATTAATCTCTCTCTTCAATATCCAGAAAGTAACTGATACTAATTTTAAGTTATAGCTGGGGTAGAGGATACATAATGCCGAAGAATGGTATAGAAAAATAAAAAAAATGTTTTAGTTTTGTATGTCTAAATTGACCCTTGAGGAGTGTACAGCACTTTGAGATCTTTGTAGTTGTCAGTGCAATAGAAATCTAAACTTGATTTTGACTTTAGAAACAGAGCTGGAATGACTGCAAGAGTGCAATAGTAAATTATCATAACGCACAGATTTTGTTGATCCCTGACTAATAAAGGAAGCCACTATGACAACAAGCTGAGAAAATTTAATTTGGTCAAACTAAAAGGACAATAAAGTACTTTTTTATGTGACTCCTGCTTGTTTTGACACATGTTTGTTTTGACGCCATGATACGTGTGATAGAATGAGTCCCTTGGTCGCGCTGACAGCTGCTGCAGGCGACAGTGTTTTTACCTGATGATGAAGTTGGTGCAGCGGATGCTCTGAGCCTCTTTGCTCGCCCGGATATAGATCCACGTCCAGGACAAGTCTTTACACTGGAGTCTCAGCACCATCTGCAGCTGGAAACCAGAGTCGGCCTGAACTGGAAAAACAACCAATATTTTAGTTTCATTATTCGAGCAATATTCAAGTCTATTTCCAAAATCAAGATGAAGTTGCACATGGCGTAGCAAATCTGCAAGATGTGAAAATCCAATTCTTTAACAATTAACTAAAACTTATTTACAAGTTTACACAACATATAACACCCAGCAAGTATAATTCATTCATAAACACATGTCTTCAATTATTCAAAATCACCATCATGGACCATACATGTATTTGGACCATACATGTATTTGGACCATACATGTATTTGGACCATACATGTATTTGGACCATACATGTATTTGGACCATACATGTATTTGGACCATACATGTATTTGGACCAATTGATGCAGGCGTTTAAGGATTACAACACAATACATATATAAATAAGATTTAGAGAGTGTTGCCAAATGTATAGACACAGGCTGTATTCCCAGATTTGTATCAATTGAATTCAACTTTATTACAGGCTCTAGATCCAAGGTATCATTTAACAATAGAGTTGTTGAATATATAATTGAATATATAAATGGCTTCATCTTAATAGTTTGAGTTTTCTCTCATCAATGCATCCTTGTTGATTGGTCAAAGCTCAGAGAATCTATGGTTTATCAGTTAATTTCAGCTTTTAAATGCAATACATCTATGTTTTGTGTAGAAAGGACTGAAATTCCACGAAACGACATTAGAAAATAACTGGTGGTACGTCCGTTTTTCTTTCTCTTTTTAAAAAATGGCAACTCTGAGAGTCCCATCAAAGAGCAATTTTCTCCATTACAAAAACAAAAAATTTGCATAATGAAAAATGTCTGTGGGGGGAAAACATTCCGACTTCAATGAGCTTCTATACGCAGCACAGTTCATCACAGAGACCTTGTACCCACTATAAATAATGAGTTTGAAAAGACGCACTGAGAACTAATACAGCTTGTTGCCTTTTTAATGTCCTATAAAACATTTGCAGTATGAGTAGTTTTTTGTTTACCGCTGACTTCCATGCTGGATCATTGCAGACTCACCTAAAGTTCTGTGGGATTCTGCGGCTGGAGAGAGATCGTCAGGATGGATGAGGCTGTACCATGACGTCAGCGTTATTTCTTCAGACGAAAAACCAAGATGATACAAAACACTGCAAAAAAAAGTGCGAGCGATATTAGTCAGAGGCAAAACTGACAAAAAGTAATTGGTCTAGAGATTTCCTAATGGGTTTTTATGTGCTGTATTATGGATGCGTCTAGACTGTAGGGATTAAAGGAAATCTAAGTGCACTGATAAAATAGTATTTAATGGCATGGCAACGTTTAATAATACTAAGTAACAACCACAACATTTTCGATAAATGCCGTGAAAACAGTGTCAATTGGGACCTGACCGCCACTAAACTAAACTTCCTTAAAGCTGGGGTGCCTAACTTTTTGGTTCATATAAAATTAACAAATCAGACCATGTGCATTTTTACTTATCAACAGTCTTGGACTTAACCACTTCAAAACTACATTCTAATCCATTCATGGTCACATATCAGTGAAAATATGCGTGGCGTTTCTCCCTAGTGTCTCTCTGGTCTCTCTGATCCCTCTCTATGGTCTCTCTCCCTGATCTCTATCTCTGTTCTTTCTCTGCTCATTCTCTCTTTGCTCTCTCTCTCATGGTCTTCCTGGTCCCTATCTTTGGTCTCTCTCTCTCTGGTCTCTCTCTCTCTGTTCTTTCTCTCTGGTCTCTCTCATGGTCCCTCTGGTTTCTCTCTCCGCTCTCTCTCTATGGTCTTCCTGGTCCCTATGGTCTTCCTGGTCCCTATCTTTGGTCTCTCTCTGGTCTCTCTCTTTCTGGTCTCTCTGTCTCTGTTCTTTCTCTCTGGTCTCTCACATGGTCTCTCTGGTTTCTCTTTCTGGTCTCTCTCTCTCTCTCTGTTCTTTCACTACTCTTTCTCTCTGTGCCCTCTCTCATGGTCTCTCTCGTCCCTATCTTTGGTTTCTCTCTGGTTTCTCTCTCTGGTCTTTCTATGCTCTCTCTTTCTCTCTGCTCTCTCTCTCTGCTCTATCTCTCTGCCCCACACCCAAAATTATATATCATAATAATTTTAAATAGCACATAGTTCTTCTAACATACCAGTCCGACACGTGACTGAAGCTCATGTCCAGTCCATGGAGGCTGCAGAAGGAAGGATGCACGGAGCTGCCCGGCCTGAGCTGGTTCACTGTGGGGGTGCAGAGGGCCACAAACAGGGGCTCTGTGACGGGACCAGACGAGGAAGAGGAGAAGGAGGAGGAGGAGGAAGAGGAGGAGGGCGAATCCGACGGGAAAAACTGGAACCTGCCTCGGACCAGCATCGCTCCACTGGCGCCATTTTGAAGCTTGAAGGCTTTGGAAGTTTGCATAGAACAAACAAAAGTCCGCTCTGGAGAGGCAAGAAGAGAAAATTCAATGTTTGCAGAAATAAGAAAAGTCCACAAGTGAGAATTCTGTGCTAAGTTTTTATGAAGCTTTTTTGAGGTTGATATTATAGAGCAGAGATTCTTTCTTTCAATGATGCTCTGCTTTCCGAGTTCTACACGGATTAAACCAAGACTAAGAAAGGACTCTGCAAAGTCTTCAAAGGGACTAAACCTGGACTGAGAACAAAGCTCAAACTATTTCATCCTGTTTTATTGAACGTACAACAAACTTATTTTCAAGCTGAAAGATGATTGGATCTGTTATTTCTTTACATCTAACTGACATTCTGTTTTATTTTTCAGGAATTTATTTTCAAAAGGTAAATTCTGTACCCGGTGAGAGATTGCTGTCGAAGTCCAGGTTGGATTTCACGACTTCAACATCTGAGCGCTCCACCATGTCCAACAAGGAGTCTCCCTGAAGCACGTCCACCTGAAACATCAGAGACTGCGTTAGCATCACACAATATGCTAACAAATATTCATCACAGAATCAAGATGAATAGGATGTGGAATGGGGATATAAAAATGGACCGTATCCTTTCAGATGAAAACTATACCAGATATATAAGATGAAAAGTTCTTGATAATGATATTGAAGTTTTTTTTTTTTTTTTAAATAGACACTGTGCCTTTGATTAAGTAGTTGGTCACTGTTGTGGGTCACTGTTTGACACCTGGATGTGTGATTGAGCTGATTGGCGGTTGGGTTTGGGTTTAGGTGACTATCCCTACATACAGTTTGTATTTTGTTTAGACAATCCGTGCAACTAGTTCCTGACTCTAAAATAGTTTGTTTCTCCTTCTAGTTTCACATGAGTGTATTTCTGGCCTCTGTCACATCTTCAGATCAGCTTTTTCAGACAGAAAAGTGAAAAAGAGAGGAGTCCTCAGTCCCATCGGCTCTCACAGGGATCTGTTTGTTTCTCATGAGATGGAGAAGGCATGTTGTGTTCTGATGTGTTCACGTCTTTAACTTTGACTCTTTCTGTTGGGACAAACTGCCTGTTTTATTTATGAAACAATGAATACTTAAAAACTTAAGTCAAATGACTCGGAACAAGTATCCACTTTAGTTTGCACTTTTTTATAGACAAACAAATGAACCCATGATAACAGGGTAACTCTTGAAGGGTTAGACAATGGACAATTACAATGGATTAAAGCAATATATAAAAGTACCATATCTGAGTAGATTAGAGGGAAAACAAAGGGAAATGTTTGTGGGAAGCAAGTTATAGAAAGTATCTTGGATTTAGGAGCTCACGGCAAACTTTACAATTTCATAAATTCATTCACATCCAGACAACATATTTCAAACATGTGTTCAGAACACAAACTCCCAAGAGCCTTAAACTTTTACACAATGTTTCACAGTGCGGTGAAAAAACACTCACCATAGAAATGCCCAAGTATTCCTCCACATTCTCGGAGAGGCAGACCAGCCTGCCCTGGGCCGTGGAGACCAGGATGAAGCCATGAAGCGCTTGCAGAAAGGCGTCCGATGGAACAGAACAGTTCGATTCCTCTTTTGACGTTAATCCTTCAGGGAGGCAGAGAGAAAGTTCACTCTGTTATCTCCACTTTGCATTTTGTGGCCTGTCATAGCTGCTGAAAGAGCAACTAAAGCACCGCTAGCTTTACTTTTGATGCATTATTTGAAGTTTGACAGTTTAGAGCAAATGTTAGACCTTACCTTTGAGGATCACTGACTTCTTTATGTAGGCGCAGATGGCCGCCATGGAGTGCAGGTAGGAGAGGCGCTCCTGGTCCTCGGAGGTGATGGGTAACAGGCCTCGCATAATCCTGATTTCATTATTGATTTGGTCGCGCCTCGCTTTGGATGCTCCTTTGGTGGATCTGTGAGAGACCATTGTCCACATTTAGACTTTGAAAAACCAGCACAAATCCAAGCAAAGCTAACACAAAGTTATTCCACTGCATTGGCTCCTTTCAGAAGCTTTCAGATACAGTATGACCGTTTGTCTCGTAGCTGCCGCTCTCATCCATCTGTGTCCATTCATTCAAAGCTCGGGGTTTTTTATAGCCGGTGTTGGGACTTAAGAGAGAGAGGGGAGGAACAATAACAACATGACACGCTCGGCCGGAGGAGGAGCTACACCGGTTTTTGCCCAAAAAGAGAAAGAGGCATCACAGCATCCCGCACCACGTCACGATGACAGCAGAAAAACACACACAGGAGATGAAGCAGGCTAAATAAAGCACGGGGCCGATTGATTGAGAGACTAAAAAAAGATGAGTGCATGATTTCTATGGAGTGCTACTAATATAGATGAACAGAAAATACAGACAAGATGTGAAATAATACTGCATCATGATGATAAAGTTCATAGATGGGTTTGGAGGGTGAATTTAAGGCATGTAAGTGAAGTTTATTGCTAAAAACATACTGCATTTTTGGATTGGTGACTTGGTATTGAAACATAGACCTACACTATGGGTTTGTAGAGACAGATATAACAGATATAATACATGTTTTTGTTAATTTACTGTCAAATTAAATTAGTTTAGTATACAATTTGAGGGCTCTGTGTCATGAAGCACTGATCGTCAGACAAAATCACAACAATGAAAACAAATAGATATTATTTCTTTTGCAAATGAAAATATTACTGCATATTCTGCCTTGCTTTGGATCGTCCTTTAGTGGATTTGTGGGAGACAATTGTCAAAATGTATACTTTGGAAAGCAGCAAATATCCAAGCAAAGACAAAGTTATACTGTTGCATTGAATTCTTCCAATAACACAGTGTCTCCCCTGTCAGCTGCTGTAAACATCTGAGGCCATTCAGGATTAAGATTAAGATTATCCTTTATTCGTCCCACTGTGGGGAAATGTCAATGTTGCATCACAAGGCACAAAACAGTAAGGATGAGGAGCACACAACACAAAATAAATGATTATTAAGTTTAGTACAACTCTATATTTAAAAAATATAATCCCGAAAGATATGTTAATTTTATACTGAACTCTTCATTATACTAAAGTTAGAGATTTGACACTTGCTTCTTTTTTATGCTTGTTAGATATTTCATTTTATTTTTTATAGTATACAGTATAGTTATTGTTCATGTTCATGTATCCTGCTGTGTGCTCCTCATTCCTACTGTTCTGCAACCGGTGATGCAACACTGAAATTTCCCCACTGTGGGACAAATGAAGGATCTCTCAATCTTAATCTTAAACAAGTATAAAAAGTATACAAATATAAGGTATAAACCAGTATATTCTTGTGCAAAGACATATACACTTGTATGTATGCATCTATAAATTGGTACATTCTAGTGCAAGAATATTGGAGTCATTCAAATAAACACTGATGAAACTGCTGTTACTACTGACTGACAAACTACTGATGATAAGTCTATAACAAAAGGGGAAAGCACCACATTTCGAAATGAAGAGGACAGAAGTAAGTTGTCCTTCCGCAGTTCACCTCAGATCGATAACTTATAGACTTATACTACTTGTAAAGCTTTGCACACAGGCCGCAGTTAAGGCCCTGACTCCAGTGCCAGCTATAATAACACTAAAAGTCAGAAGTGAAAGTCAGAAGGAGCTGCTCTCACCTGAACCTCCTGCAGAGAGACGCAGCGCGCTGGTCCTCGCTCTGGTGATGAGACGCACACGGGGTGCTGACGTGACATTGGCACGCGTTACACCAAATAGTCATCTTCAACAACACGGGGAAACCATCAATGGAGTAAAAAACACAACTTCTAAACACGTTTCACAATATCCCCGTGTCTGTGTTCACTCTAACTTTAAAAACACGCGCGAAAATAATGATTAAGTTGAGTTGAGTCTGTGCGTAACGGTGCAATACCCAGCACTGTCACGTATACGCGCGCTTTCTGCTGCCCTGAGTGCGTCTGCGGCTCTCTTTAAAGCCCGCTCTGAGCCGCGGGAGGCTGGACCAACGCGCTGGAGGCAGGCCACAACAACATGGGCTCATCTTCTGTTATGACGCGCGATTCTCACTGATGGCGACTCAAAATAGCAGCGCGCTGAGGTAGTGAAAGAGACAGACTGAGTGAAAACTGCGAAGGTGACGCGGTGATCCCTAAAATAGATTGGGTTATGCAAGGCAAGGCGAGTTTATTTGTATTGCACAGTTCAGACACAGAGACACTTTTTTCTCAACAAGAAGAGAAACATAAAAATCACACATGGTATTCTGTGAAACTCTAGAAAGATCGAATGCACTTGGGGAAGACGTCAAATTGAAGTCAAAATCTATGGGTCAGATTGCGCATATACAATTTTCCATGTTTTCTCTATGAGTTCTAAAGGCAAAACCTGCAGCAGCATCTAGAATTACAATTATGGCTTTCCCCCAACCATATTCTGTATATTAACAGAGTTTTGTGAAAGTAAACAATATCCATGATCTTATTAGAAAACACGTTTCTGTTTATTAATGACAATGAATGTGGAAATGTGTATTAAAATCAAACGCAAATAAGTTCTAGTACACATACATCTCTAAGAATCTTATTACATATTCAAACATTTCTGCGTTGTATAATTATAGGTTCATTACTGGATCAACCATTCACAATTCCCTCTCTTTTAACTTGGAAATTCAGTTTTGAGCGGCTGTAATTTCACATGTGGATGATTAGAGATGATCTTTCTGCTTCTCTCAGGGCCGGCCCTAAGCATTTGGAGGCCATGAGCAGGAGTGAATCGAACAGAGGGAATAAATTCATGAATTAGACAAACAAAAACATAAACCTGTAGGCCAAAAGAAGGTCGGTGTTTGGCTTGATCCCATTCAAGAAAATACAAACCTATTTATAAATCTTATGGCATTTATGAGTGTTTTTTTGTTTTGTTTTATTAATAAATTGTATAGTCGGACAAATCAGTGGATGCAGCCAACTTAACCAGGTCTATAACAGGAGGTTCATGTGGTAAAACAAAATAAGTACTAAATGTAAAATAGATCTAAAATAAAAGGGATAAACAAATAAAGACATATTGTAAGTCACAGGTTTGTTTCATGTGTAAAATGGATTTAGTCCCAGTTTAACTCCTATTTTAATGTGGTTGTGTAAGTGTAAATAGAGTCTACATTTAGATGTTATTATCGTTGATTATTCCAGATGTTTTGTCACAGGAGCCTTTGTCCCGCTCTGCAGCACGCACCTGAACATGGCAGCACTGACGACAGCAATTATTGTGATTTAATCAAATAAACATGAACACATTCACTGTAAAAACCTCTTTTGTACATAATATACTTTATTTCTTATTATCTTCTTGATCAATACAGTTTGAACTTATCTTAACATCATTGACATTGTTGCCCTCCACCTGTGACCTATAATAAATGTCTGGTTATGAATGAGGAGAAAGTGCCGAGTGCCACAGCACTTTAGAGTGCTCTAAATGAGGTGTTGATGCGTCATTGTTTAATTAGTGAAAGACTTTGGTGCAGTTTGTCTCTGACTGAGCGTGAGTCACGGCGTCAGAGTTGGAGGAGGACGAGGTCTCGGCTCTTGGACCAAATGATGAAGTTCAGCAGATGAAAAGATTATAATGTGCATCACAAACAGCATGACGAATGCACGGCAGGCATATAGAGCTGAGCCATGGGTTCAACTCCCAACTGCTTGTGATGTCACAAACTGTGAATGAGAGCTGTGCTAACTTTTTGTGCAGAATTTGAGAACAAAACATTACAATATTGACATTTTGAAATGCAGTGAATATTTGTCCAACATTTATTTCAAAACTAGACAATACAATTCAATAAAAACACCTTTTCTAACGCTGCACCTGATTTGAACAATTATACATCTATAGTTGCTTTTATGTTTCATTTATTATTATTTTTTATTAAAGTTGAAATATCTTCACAGTTTGAACTTCAAGCCACTTTAGCAATTCGTTGATCCATGTTAAATAACTTCAATAATTGTATTACTCTGGTTTCATTTGTAACACAATAGAAAAGATAATGCGAGTGAGTTAGCTGATCATTTTGAGACATCAATGAATTTGCTTTTTAAACGTGTCATTTATGTACAGTATTTATGTCTTTTAGTCTTCCAATACTTCCAGTCGATAACATTCTACTGTTATTATCCCCAGAGCAGATAAGACTGCTGCTCTGTCACCTGTGGATTCAGCTGAACATCACATGAATTCAATGCAGTTTCTTTGTCTTGGGTTATTGCTCATAGAAAGTTATTCAATATTTCCTTTTTTATTTGTACAGATTTCTGCAGAAAATCCCGTGTTATGTGATGGGTCTTGGGATACTGCTTCCCCACAATCTTATCTAGACTTCGATCCCTGTGGTTGCATCGGTTGGCTGTTAATCAGAAAAACACTGTTAATCTCAATCTTGTCTACATTTTCTCTGGCTCAGACCCGAGTGAACGTAAGCTGCGGTCTTGTTGACTACTACTTTATCATGGTAATTGAAAAAGTTAAGTCCCTCGAAGGTAACAGAAACCACTGGATTAACTTGCACCGCCTGATAAATTTGTTTTGGGACTTCAAATCTAAACAACCCATTTACGCTTTTTTGTTTTGTTCAGCTCTAATTTGAGAACTCTCTAAGGCCTCGTGCTTCTAAAACACCTCATTGGCACAAAATCCACTTTATACCGTGTGCAGTTTCGGGGCGATGTTGGGGGCCGCGAACTCGAACTTGAGTGAAGGGGGAGAATTGGTCATTGGATCGCGGCGACAAGACAAAACAATTTACTCTGAACAAATCCCAAAGTCTGAAACTCAAGTGGCGCTGGGATTGTCTGAGTGGGAGTTGAAATGAGAGTAGTTTAGAGAGATATATGTGGTGCTGGATTGAGAAGGCACTGGGGGGTTGGAGGGAGGGAGACATTTCCCCAGTATCATGTTATGGAATACAGCGACATTGTGTGTCTTGCGTAACATAGTAGTGCTTATTGATTCAATTCTTACGATAAAAAGCCAAAAAAACAGCATTTCAGAGCAAAAAGTCAGCATCAAAGACCAGGGGCACACATAGAAAGAAATTGTCGCTATATAAGCTGTGTCTTGATTTCTGCGGCTTATATAGCAATGAGGCTAATATATACTGTATGTATTTTTATTGTGGTTGAGTTGGGCTGTTGTCCGAGTAGAGTTTATGGACCTATTTTCTTGACTCCATCAAGTTTTAGAAGCTATAGGACACTCTGTTATTGTCAAAATAGAGGGTGAATGAGTCCCGGCATGGAAGCTAACGGTTAAGCTGCTAAACAACAATCATTAAATCATCCAATTAAAACAGTCGTCTTTCTGCTACATTACAATTATAACATACAAACTTGCAGCTTATATTCAAGTGTGGCTTATATGTGGACAAAATTCACTCTCTTTTAAACTGTTGCTGGTGCGGCTTATGTTCAGTTACACCTAATAGTCCAGACAGTACTGTACATTATATTGGCGAAACTCTGAAAATTAGAACATTGTTTCAAAGTGAATATATTTCTGTATTTCAACTTAAAATGTGAAAGCAAAATAGTAAATATAAGTAATACATGCACAGTGACATACGCCAAGCCTGTGTTTGTAATCAATTTTATGATTATGGCGTACAGTTATGGCTTTAAAATACAAAACTTTGATGAGAAGTTTTATTTGGGTTTTTTTCAAGCTGTGAACCAATTATCAACATTATAACAAATCAAGGCTTGGTTTATGTCACTTTGCCTGTTCCGAGTCTGTCATACATTAGTTTCACATGACTAATGACTATAATAACTATGAACATGGACAGAATTAACATAATTAACAGACTTTGTCCCAGCCATACATAGAACCAGTCTGAAACTCAAGTGCTACTGGGATTGTCTGAGTGGTTTGATGAAATCATTTGGGTAATTATGTGCGGCGTTGTTGAACGTGGCCGACTACAGGACTAGACAGAGGGCCGTGCTTCCTGTCCCGTGTGGGGATGGGGCGCAGATATGTTCTTGTGTGGGACAGGGCGTCTCTGGAGCTCGGGGAACACGTCTGCAGCCTGCACTTAACCCTGCAGATAACACAGGCTTTATAGCACCAGGACGGTGACAGACACAAGCAAACTGCTGCTGTTGCTACTACTGCTGCTACTGCATTTATATGAGCAGGATTATTGTCTGTGGTGACTACAGTATTTGGGAGAGAGAAGGGGTAATGACTGGTTGTTAAGAATGGGAAGTAGAAAATTAGGCCAAAAGCAATCGTGTGAATGGTAATTGGAATATTTTGAAATGAGGTGAATTATAGTAAGAGAAACACTATCAAAATGGCACAATAACAATCTGATTAAAATTGGGGTTAACAACTTTTTCAAGCAAAAATCAGACATGTTGTTTTCCACACACTAAGAAGCAGATGGGAGTCACAATTTGATGGTTGAGAGCTGATTGGTTGAGCAAGAGTGGTCCTTTTTTTACTTTTCTGTCAGAACAAGCTGATCCAGAGGGGGAAAAAAATACATGTACAGTAGGTGACAAGTATCTGGATATGACCAAATTGTTCTGAGAGCGAGGACCTTGTTTGGATTTTATGATTTTTTTTTTTGGGTGTAAAGTTAGGTACATCTGCTTTATCTACACCCTATGTAGACATTCAACAAAACTGCAAACTCTCAAGGATATCAAATAGTATTGTAGTATTATATTCTGGGTACATTTGTGTGAATGGCGTTGGTAATGGAGTAAGAATTTTACTTTTAAGCCTGAGCACCAGACTTTAAAGCTGAATAATAAAATTGTTTTTGCAACATTAATAATACAAGAACAGCTATAAAAACTGTATATCTGCTTATTTTACAATAACAATCAACACATGCCACAATAAAAATCCTTCCACTACATTAAGAATTGTGAGACCCCTGAAATGAGGCGTCCCAACATGACATTACGGGCCGTAACAGCAGCACTGGTCCCAGTCAGAGGGTCCAAGGAGCAGCCAGCGAGGGGCCGAGACGGGCCGACTGTGGACCGTCTGCCACTGGACAGGAAGAGGCGCTTCAAAGACTCACTGTACGGCTGTAAACAGAGGTATGTATCTATGTGGGAGAGTGGGGGGAACGGTGGTCATGACACGCACATTTAAAGCTGGGGTACCTACATTTTTCAACACAACGAATGGAACTAAGACAATAAATCCACATAACAAGTTCATGTCTCATCCTACTGGTTTTCACATACATGTACTTTGGCATTTTTTACATCAGCTTTATTCAGACAGAACAGTGAAAGAGGACAATCTCACTCGGCCAATCAGTTCTCAGCCCTGAGCGTCAAAAAGTAACAAGTATCGTATGTGTAACAAGTTTTCTAATACTGCATGTAGTGGTTTGATTTGTTCACATTTAAACAGTGATTATTCATGATGAAAATACAATGTTAAGGTTCCCCAACTAAAAAGCAAGTAATAGAAGCAGAAATATAAGTTCCAAACAATCAAAGACCCATCCATTCAACTGCTTCATAACATTCTGTCCACAGTTTTTCAGACTTTCAACAGCTTTTCAGACTGTCAACGATTTGGAATCATGTCGAGATGTGTTCTGTGGCAAAAATAAAGAAGTACTTATAACAGAAGAGACTGAAGCGTTCCGAGGTCAGTGTTAACTCAAATAGTCTCAGCTTTATTGTTGATACAGTTATAAAGCGTATTGCACAGGAAGTCCTGACCAACCATAACAAAAATAACCCAGCCAAAACAAAAATAAAAAAAATATATTAAAATAAAATATAACAGTATGGAGACCTGTAATCTTGTAAAATCAATACACTCAGTCACTTTGCTCACAACCTTTTCCCCTTCGATTTCTTCTTCCAACAAAAGCACAAAAGATTGATACTATAGGCTTACTCTAATGCAGTGCGTCTCGTTCCGGACACACACGGAAAGGCCTTTTTCACCAACGCCTGGTAGTTAAGGCCAAACAAGTCAAGCTCAAATACAGCTCAAACAATTTCACAATTTTCTTTTTTCCTGGACCATCACCAAAAACTGTTAGAGAAATTAACTTGAAGAAGACAAAAATAATATGTACTCGTTAGTTTCGATTCATAGTATTTGTAGTTTCGCATGATTGTCCCCCGGGGTGTGATCCGTCCCGTTGGCACCACTCAAAAGCAAATGAACATTATTGTGGGACATGGACAGCTCTGTATGTAGTGTCTCAAAAGGTAAGGTAAGGCTCATTAATGGCTTTAGTACGAATACGATGACTTGGACTTAACTTGTAGATTGTTACGCACTGCTTAAAAGACATAGAAAACTTGCATTGTATTATTAATATATACTGCAGTTGTAAAAACGGAAAAAGATCGTAATAATCACCGTGTTTGTGTATATATGGTCAATCCCTACGACTGAAATAAACGTGGAAAATCGAAGACAATTTCTTTCAGTGCATTTCTTCTAAATTAACCATAGATTTGTAACGTAGACAGTTATAGCCCTTATTTAGACCATCTGCTCATTGAAACCTATGTGTTAAAAATAATGACATAGTGATGAACAAAGTCGGTTAGATTGTCAAAATGATGCATATTAAGAGAAGACCTCAGATTTTTTTTTTTTAATAAAGTTACTCTTTAGTGTCTCACTTGAGCACCTTTTTTCAAATTTGGCACAAAAAACAAAAATGTCTGGAAACAACCGCAAAAAAAAGTGAGAAATTCAGCACAAGTCGTCTTAGAGGGAGGTAGAAGGATTTCTCTCATGGCATTTAGCTTGCAAAGTGGAGACACCGTTTTTTGTTGTTGAGTTTTTCAGTTATTTATTTTTTTGTACAAGCCAACACGTATACGGTACCATTCCTTTTCATTCAAGTCGTCGCCATTTGCCCTAAACTAAAACTTCATTGGTAATAATCCGATATGTTTTATAGCCAGCCTAGCTATACAAACCCGCAAACGTTCCTTAAACCATGTGATTGAGATAGGTCTGTGTAAGGGGGAGATTTGATTTTAAGCTCCGCGGAGAAGAGCTTTGGCTGGAGTCTGCGTCCTTTCCCTGCGTTTCTCTTGATTGCAGTCATTGATTATCACAGGCTGATTGGATTGTTAACGAGGCATAACAGAAGAGAAAAGTGGTGATTAGCTCCTCGCTCAAAAGAGGGGGACCCAGATGCTTCCTAAGTCGTGAGAAATGTTCCGAGAAGTGACTTGCATCCGTTTATGGTCGGTGGAGAGACTTCCCGAACCCGCGTGCCGTCATCAGCTGATTGCAGGGGAGGGGAGGAGAGGAAAAAAAAAGACGACGCCGTTGCGTTCAGCCGTGCGACGAGAAGATGGGTCTGCTGATGTTGCTGTTCGTCGTCATGGCAGCCAGCTCCCATCTGCGGCAGGATACAGAGAAGTGTGAGTGAAACTAGAACAATATAACAAAAATTGTGTGGATCTAATTATACTGTCATAGTGTGTATGTGTGTGTGTGTGTGTGTGCGTGTGTTTTCTGTAGGACGGATGGAGCAAGACGCCAGACACTTACTGTATATCTGAGGTACCCAAATGTTTGCCCCTTAATAATAAATACATTGTTTGTTCCAACAGAAAGAGTCTTGTAAAAGTAAAACGGTGTAAACGAATCAGGCCACAACATCACAGGCCACAACTTTCTTTGTTATCTTTTGCTGAAAGGAAGAACCCTGTGAGCCACTATTTGACTCTTTGGGGGGGGAGCAGAATGGCCGAGTTCGATTGGTCCTATCTTTTTCACTTTTCTAACTGAAAAAAACGGATCTAGAAATGCGAACATTACATGCAGATGAAAGATGTGATAGAACTGATTTGAGAGCGAGGAGGTTGTTCATTTGTTTGTGGTTTGAAAGTTAAGTTTTCCGGCTTTAATTCAACACAAAACAAGACATTTGACCACTCTTTTTAATATAGAAGCATTTCGAGCTTACTGCATGTGACTCCAATACTGAGCTGGTTCATTAGTCCGGTGACAGAGCTATTATTATTTTTTGGACATCTTGGCATGTTTGAAAGACGAACAAGCACGAACGGCCGCGACCGATGAAAGTAACCAGTTGCTATAGTTGAAACAAATCTCGGTTCTGGGGCGCGGCGACACTCAATCATCTGCGTTTGAGTCAAAGCTAGTGGAACTGGAGACACGAGAGCAGCGACTGACAGCTCCGGCCCACTGCGGGTCAAGAGGTGGAGAGGCAGATTGTTATCACTGGCTTCGGTTTCACGCTCGCTCCTTCTTCCGCGGCTTTGTTGGGGCCCTTTTTTTTTGTTTTGGAGATTGGCACACGGGCTGAAGATGCCAGGAGTGTTGGAGGGAAAGGGGAGTTAAGCAGCCCTCCGTGACCCCCCGGTCCAAAGCCCTTTCAGAGCGGGACAGGCTAGAGAAAACATCAGAAGTGCTCGGTGCAAGGTGGCAGTGATGGTGCGGCAGGAATGAGGGGCCGAGAGCGGTAATTAGGCTCGAGTTGCAAAGTCCGAGCTGGAAAGCAGAGTAATTAACCCCGACATGTCACCGTACGTGTCCGCTCAGCACACGCAGCTCATGTCTATTTTAGGGAGATTAAATGACTGCTTTTCGATGTAGGTGGGCGGTGGTGAAAGAACGCCGCAGTTTGACTTGTAGATTATTACATCTCTTAACCCTTTAAATGGTTTCCTCGACCATTCGGTAGATCACTTCTTTTAATATCTACTTTAAGCTTGGAAATGAAATATACCTCTTTTGGGGATCTCACATGGTTTTAGGACATTTTACCGTCAACCTAAATCTCAACCATTTGGTGAAAGGCAATAATAAAAACAAAACTAGGGGTTAAAAAACTAAAACATGATTTGTGTTATTATTGCTGATGCATCTTCCAAGAAAGAAAAAAAATACATTGCTTTCTTCAAGGAGTGAACATTTAAAGGGAATATCAATTTCCTCTGCGTAAGAAATATAGGAACTAGAGTTGTCAAATCTTTTATCTGCACAAAACCTAATTAACAGAAAATTATTCAATGATTAGGTGCTGTGCGCAAATACTCTGATGTTGAGCCATCTCCAGCATCAGTAAAAAATGCTATGGAGATTTTAATACCTGGACTGAATCTAACAAGCATCCTTTTTCTTTTTTTTTTAAAGATGCGCTGGGTAACGACTGCAAGCTCTGATTAACAGTTGTTGTTTTGTGCTTTACCATTTTTATTTTTATAGCTTTTTCTGCCTGAGATGTTGCTTCAGAACAGTGTGCAAAGTTTTGCACTGGTCCAGACCGGAGTGGAGAGGATTTATGGTCCAAACCATGCGAATCAGGTGAAAATCCACTGGAGGAATGCTGACTTTTTGAAAAATGCTAATTAAGCATTTAGCATTTTACTTTGGACTAAAGCAGAGAAGATGGTCCAAACCAAGCGGTTACTCGATCTTTTGACCTGTCCTGCTCCACCCAGAGGCTACTCCATCTCTGCTGCTGTGACCCGTCCTGCTCCACCCAGAGGCTACTCCACCTCTGCTGCTGTGACCCGTCCTGCTCCACCCAGAGGCTACTCCACCTCTGCTGCTGTGACCTGTCCTGCTCCACCCAGAGGCTACTCCATCTCTGCTGGAGTGACCTGAAGGGCTGTGGCTGATTATTACTATTGTTAGCTTTTTTTAGAATGATCAATTTTATTTTTTATTTTTGCTACTACTGGACACATGAATTTCTTCTTCGGGGGATCAATAAAGTATCTATCTATCTATCTATTTGATCGTATAGTCAAAGACACATAACAACAATTCTTGCAAGGTCTTCACAATAGTGGAAATAAGTCCGATATGTAACAGTGGATGCAACGCCTGCAATGTACGCAAGTGAAACTCGGAAACATTTTAATATCAGTAACTCAATTTCAATTCAATGTATTTTTGTATGGCCCTAAATCACAAGATCTGTGATATCGGAGGAAAGTTGTCGATTGACCAATAACAGATCAGAGAATCAAACAGTTTGAATAGAGGAAATGTAGTAATAGGAGCCATTGATCCATAAGCAGCAGGATGACCAATGTGCACGAATGTTAATAAATGTCCATAAATGTCTTTAAATGACCTTGATCATCACTGTCTATACCGTCAAAGAAAAACCAGACGGATTTTAATTTTGATTTTATTAATATTGTTAGTAACTTTTAGAATTTTGTAAGTAACTTTGTTTTGTTTGTATGAATGGATGTGTTTCTGCTGCTACTGGACACCTGATGTATCTTTAAGCAGACAAAAGTAATGCTATAATATGGAGTCTTCAATATACACCATTCAGACAAGCATGTGAAAAACCATCAAACAGAAGGTCACACCATGTACCTTTAAAGCATGGGCTACATTTCTGAAGTCCTTATATGAACGTACGTACTTCGGGAACGACAAAGCCTCAGCAGCATGAAGGGAAATGCTACATAAAAACCATCGAGTTTTACAATTTATCTTTGCTCTTCTTTGTCCACTGCTCTAACCACTTCCATCCCCTGACGTCAGCTGCTGCGTTTCTGCCCACAACCCCATTCAAAAAAATGACACAATAATTATGCAAAAATTGTGTTTTTTCCTATTTCTGTGTGGGTGGTTATGCTACCATCAGACAAAGGCTGAGTAAAAGGCACTTGAATTGACATAATGACTCATAAATGGGACTTTAATGACCTGTGAGTGTGCGTGTGTGTGTTGGAGGTGCAAAGAGTGTGTCAGTGCGGAGCCTGGACGTACTGACCTGATGTCGTGTGGGAGGCCCGACTGATCCAGACTGTTCTGGATAACAGCTATTTTGCATAACATCTTCAGATTAGGGCCTGAAAAAAAAAAAAAAGAGAAATAAAGAACAAAGAATGAATCCTAAAACAAGAAACTAACAGAAGAAGAACAAGAGAGCAGTGGGAATTTAATATTGACTTATCAGATCAGAGGATGGAGATGAAAGCTCTTGATTAAAGCCAAAGGAATGTCTGAATCAACATTGAAGTGAAAGTACTTGATATTAATAGTGTATTTTGATGTGGGTAAGCTTCAATTCATATTTTTGATAGATTTAGCACATTTCATAAAATCATAAACTATAAAAGGTAGTACATCTTTAAGTTTTGTGCTTAAAATGTTTCCTAAAGCGACAGCCCCAATGTGGTAATGTACACTTTGATATAATTAACGAATGCCTTTATTAGTCCTGTAGTGGGTAGATTACAAATACAAGTAAAACTTTGATGATAAGAATATTGATCAAAAGTCCATTCAGTTCTCTATTCATCTTACAATGTACAACTAACATATGAATCGTTATATGTAAAGTGAGATATAGCTAGCCTTTATTTTTTAATCATTCTTATAATCATTCTAACAGCTTGTAAAATCCTATATCTTTTAAAATGGACTGTAAGCAATCATCAACTATAACAAACAAAAGCTGGGTACATTTCACTTCATCACGTCATATGCTGGATTCACATTTTTAGTTACACAAATAAATGAACTTTTGAACAATGTTCTAACGTTCTTAGTTTCACTTGTTTGACAAATATCAGTGCATTCAGAGAAGTTGTATCGACTCTTTCATATACGCTAACTGCTTTTCTGTGGCAAAATACGGCTCTGAGTTCTGTTAGTATTTTGTTCCAAATGTAGAGTCTATTCTCGTCCTGTTTGTTGTTGGACCATATGTGCAGTAGGGGCCGGTGCCAGACCCCGTGTGTCGGGGTGAAGCCCACGCATGAACCCCTCAGACAGATACGACACCGGAAGAGACTGCTTTTGGTCTGGATTCGGACATGATCCAGGTCTTTAGGAGGTAAGAATGGAATGACTGAAATAATAGAATAAGAGAGACGGAAAACGCAGCAGATGCACCGACTAACTGAGATGAGGATAATTGGCTGCATACAGGTTTATTTTTTATTTTTATTTTAGTTTAAATATTTAGGGTATCAAAGTGAATAGTCAGAAGAGAGACGTAACAACAGTATTTTCATTGGCATCATATAATCCGGATCATCTTGCCAAGATTCTGAATCTTTATACAAGCATTTTTTATGTTTTAATATGTTTTGTTATGAGCAGAGTTCATATGGTGAAAGTGGTCTCTCTGAACTGTAATCGCTTGGATATATTGAATTCATCAAACTATACTGTCAAAAGCAACCTGTGAAGAAAGAAAGATGCTTTTGACACACTTCTTTTTAGTCAAAAGTCTCTAAAAATGTATCGGTTTTATATAACGCTTTGAAAAGGAACACTTACAAAAGGAATTTTCAAAGTAGAGAAAGCACTTTTCTCAATTAGTATTTCAATTAGTAAGTCAATAAATAGCACAGATTTAATTCAAGTTTGGCATAAAGCCGAATCGATGTCTACTTGTACTAATCTGTAATAAATCACAAATAAATTTTTGAGCACAGATTATATAAATTCCATTACTTACTGAAGTCTAGAATGTACAGGTCTGAGTGATCCATGAGGTTAAATTCGTCTCCCATTCCTTGCTCGGGACAGGGGCTGTGAAGAGAACACATTGTATTTCATTTGGACGTTCATTCAATTTGTCAGTTTACAACATTTCCTGGCTGTAAAACGTTAGCAGATCTCGCTTTAAGACTTGCTTGTCTCTTTTGCGCATCGACAAGTTGCCAGCTGCTTCACCTTTTCACATTTATTAGACAAGTGCATGGTTTCCAGTATTGATTTTAGTTTTTACACCATTCTCCACAGTTACTTACCCCAGGAGGAAATGTGTTATATCTCCTCCTCTACCGTCTATCATTTATCTTTGAGAAACATAATCACAGAGCAGCTCAGAGTCTATCTGTCATAGTTAGCCCAAAACAGTGGGTTTTGAAAAAGGCCTCTGCTTCTTATCTCAAACAGCCATGATTTAAGAGTCAGGAAGCGGGCTGCAGCGGGGCGTCCAGGTGGTCAGCGCTGATAGTGCCCCTTGTGAAATCACCTCAAATCTGCTTCCTGCCACAGTTAATACACCTGTAACATAGCTGCTGAAAGCCCAGTATAATGTGCACTGCATGGCAAGACTACAAAATCAACTGGAAGAAATTAGAAAAAACTATTTGCAATTGAAAGTAACGCACTAGCTATGTGACAGTAAGTGCCTTATCTTGTCATTTGGACATATGTTTAGGCCAGTGTCTCTCAAACTGTGGTACATTCTACAACACATTTGTCCTTTGGGTAAATGCTAATAAATTTGAGCAACATTGTCACAACATTGTTAAGAGCTTATAGTTTACATTTATGGTGTAGAGTAATTGAAAAATCTTTCCTGAGAACTATGGTAAGGGCCAACATTTGGATTTCTCATCTATTTCTCAAACTCCTGGGCCAATCCACATGTTCTCTCTCCTAAAAAGGTGGTGACAATATTCAACAAACATCTGCACAATGTCGTTGCCAGTACAAACAACTTTCAGACATGATTAAACCCACAACTTGCCAAATAACCATCATCGGATAACAATCTGGGAAAACATTCAACCCTTCTTTTAAAAAATGGCTTTTTAAAGAAAGGTTGCATGTGGCACCTGCCCTCCGACTGAAATCGAATTCTAGAATAAATGCAACCTCTTAGGATGGTTCTGTGTCTAAATTAGGAAGACATTCTTATAATCCTGTTTGAGAGCTGGCTTAGACGCATAAATAATACTCGGGAGGCCAGGTAAGGTAGTTTTGAACACCTCAGTATCTTCTTAGTTTGTACTTTGGGTGAAAGGTTATAGAACTACTGGACAAGGCAATGTATTAGTGAATCTACCTTTACTCAATTACAAGGACAAAAATATAAATAAAAAATAAACTGTATGCCAGCCTATACACTGGATTGGTCTATATTACCTAAGAAATATGTTAATGTTTGTTCACCAACACTGTTACCTTCATGATGTAAAAAAGATATGTTTATATAATCCATTTTTGCATCTAAGAGACAGTGGTTTGTTAGATAAAAAAAATCCTGTAAAGCTGCAAGTCTGTGTGTGACATCTGAAATGCTGCATTACATTTTGAAAGAACGTGAAATGCTAATAAAAGACACCTGTACGGGACTTTCAGAAGTGACCCACTTGATCTTGATCTATTGTCGCTTCCACCATCCATCTCTGTCCCTGCCCAGAGCGACTTCTCCGCTGCATATCCCTTTCGCTGCGTGTGCGGTTGTTGTAAGGGTTTTACGTCACTAATCTCCTCTAAACAAACAGTGGGAGGACTTGGATTGTCCAGGAGAAGAGCGGAGCACGAGCGCACAGGTCCCAGGGGTCCCATCTGTGGAAGTCATTACACCCCCAGGAGGTGCCCCATCCAGCTTTTATCAGCTCAGACCATCTCCACTGGACTGTCCACTGCTCTATACCTGCTCTGCTCCAGCGGGCACAGGACAACAGTGCTTAGTAAAACGTTTTAGCGCTCGGTCACGGCTCGTTTCCAAATCAAACCAAAGCTAAATAGTATTTAATGCACAACATGAAGTTTAATTTATACGTCCAAATCTCTTTGATTTGCCACATGGTAAAAATGTCACCAATGAATGCACTTTGCTCAAGTAAACTAGAGTATACAACAGTTCTGTGGCCTGTACTTTCATACAGTTATGACTCCATTCCCCTGGTCAAATGTGTAAATAGGATGAGCAACTTTGGACTTAATGCTCTAGTTATAAATCAAAATTGGTCATAATTATCATCCAGTAAGATTATTTTTAGTTCAACAAAGAATCCTTCATTGCTCCAGTCATTTGTCAATGACAAAACAAAAAAATAAAAAGGCAAACAAGCAATTTTACAGATTAATTCAACAAAGTTATACCATTAAGTACTAATAATTGCATGATTGATGATTTAATTATCTAATTTAGGGATGTAACAAATGGATGATTGAAATTGTTGTCAACTAATTTAGTCATTGACTAAGTGTTTTTTGAACCTTCCATAGACATAACCAACGTCAGAAGAGGTTTGATCAAGATAATTAGATATTGACTTCAGAATGAAAGGAAAATATGTGTACAAAGTATTTTTAATCAATTAACCCAATGTGTGACAAGGCATCTCTATCAGGAGGTTCTCCAATCAAAACTGTACATACACCCCTAATCTAAATGTGTTTTCAGGATGTAATTTCATTTATGACGGTAGGATAATCTTCAAAAGGTAAAAGCAAGGACCATTTTAATTCGGGGGACAACCAGAACATCAAGTCTGCTTCCAAGTGTGCTTCCAATTCCAAAGAACTTTGAACTAAGCAATATAAGACTGGACTTGCATTTTCCAAGAGCAGAGCCCAATTTAAAAACAGTCAAACGCAACATTTCTATAACATGCAACACGACGATTTGATGTTTGAATCTGAAACAAAGTCAGGATGTATAATTGCAATCCTGCCTCCACTCAAATTGTGCTTTCCAATCAACGCAAATTAATATATTAAAGCATCTTTTCTGTAAAGTCATAGCACACAAACCAGTAAAGCCTTTATGTTAGTACCATGCCCTGAAGAGAGAGGAGTCTTTTTATGGATGGAATTAAACTATTCCACAAAAGGCTATGTCATACTCAAAGAAAAGGAAAGCCACAAAGAGACACGGCTGGATCTCATTCCCTCAATGCAAAACCAACCCTTAACATGAAAACCTTTTCTGGCCTCCCGTATCTCACAATTGTCTTCAGCTGAGCGCTATCTCTTTAAGCCCGCTGTGTAATTCAGCCATTGTTCAAGTTCATATTGAGAGCGTGCAGCGTGATGGGAGTCTGAACAGTGGAAGTACGCTGATAAGACACTGCTTTAACAGGAGAAAGGCGTCTGGACAAGGTTTTTCCCGTCAGTTTAGCAGAAGACGTTAGCTTGGGTGTGAAATCCAACAAAACATTAGGCCAGAGTAATGCTTTATTGGTCCCCACAAAAGGAAAGAGTGGTAGTGGAAATTGGGGAAGGCCTAATAGAATGACGGTGTAGTTTTATGTGGCATCCTGGAGTTCGACTTTGTGGCAGGATCGGCAAAGTATCGCAGCAAAGTGTGAATGTGCTCCTCCCCCTTACAACCCAACGAGGGATGTAGCCCCCCTTTAAGAAAACAAATGGTGCTTTTTCAAACAAACACTCAATAAGGAAGAATAATCACCTAATTGCCAACGCTCTCTTGGAACGCACTACTTACTCATTAGGTTACGAAGTTTGCTCCGGGAAAGTTCTGAAGACAATCAAGTCCTAATAAAAAGCTTGGTACAGCCATGAAGTTCTGCTAATTTACTTGTAATAATTGCCCAGCAGCTTAGGGAGAGCTCTAGCAGCATTAAAGAGATGAATATAAACAAAAACTTTGGATTTGTAAGCATTATAAAAGATGTAATAAGTTATTGGCTGTCAAGTATTTGCATTTGTTTTATCCTCAGACTTCAGATAAAAACTGCATCCTATTTCCTCTCAAGTGTCCCACTGAACACTCTGAATCAAGTAGCACACAGGAACTCATCCTACACTACAACTTCCTGCTGAAAGTCTTATCAGGACAACCAGACGAGCATTAAAAATATAGCAGCTTTCTTAGGTGTTGAAGGAAAACATGCATTTTCCTCATGGTGGATGGTGACGTTACTCGAAAACCAAAGCACTTCTTTACTGGTGATTTATGACAGTGTCGATTACAAACTAAATCATTTAACAGAATCTGACACATTATTAATTATTCACTGCTGTGAAACACTGACATTGAAATATGACAGTAATAGTTTAAGTAAGCAAGTATCAAAGACTTAAATACGTATAGAAACTACTTAAAGTAGTTTCTTTAAGAACATTTGGATATTGTTGCATTCCCTATATGATAATAGCCTGACAAGACACATACAATGTATGTGTCTGAAGGCAGAGAGTCTGGATGGTCAGGCTAACATGCTCTGAACCATGAATATATACGAGTGCCATCTGGGAATCTACACTCGAGATCGACAGACATGGTATTCTGAGGCTGACGCTGATTTAAAAATGCCCAATTATTATTCTATTTTTAAGGCCCCAAATAAACAAGGGGTAAGGACTAATGCTAATGTGTTAGTAATTAGAGATTTTTAAAGGCCGTGGATATTGATGGGAATAAAAGTTTATTAATTCATTGAATTCAATGAAAATGAAAAATATCTGTTATTAATGTTGCTTTGTTTTGTTTATAGATTATAATTTGTGGCTGCTTTTGTGTCAGGAGGTTTTTCAGAAAAAATATTGAGGTTTGGATTTCAAACAAAACTGGATGAAATGGAAGGCTTTTTTTAAATTGAGCCAACATGCCGTGGTAGCATATTCCTTCAAAAATCAGGGCACCCAAACATTCAAAAACTAAAAAAATTGACCCTATATACCAGTCGATCTCTAGTCTATATTGTACCATTTGAATAATCTAAAATTGTGGGAATGGGAGTGGAGATGGTTTTTTGTTGTTAGATATTCTGTATGTTTGAAAACTGTAGTCTGACAATAAGTATCATCTTCCCAAAGCATCT